CAAAAAAAAAGATTTCTTTTTCATACATTCAAAATTTGGTTGTACCCTCGGGTTAGAAGAGCAACACAATAATGGATGTTTTACAGTGTTTTGGTGAGTTTAACTGTGCAGCCGACAATTTGTGATGGCATAGGTAATTTCATATTTTAGCAGATTCAACATTATTTGGAAGGAACAAATTTTATACAATGAAATATTTTTTTACATTAACAACAGCATTTACTTGGGTGGCATCTCTGTGTTCTCCAGAGTGGTAGCGTACTCAAGCATCAAAACTTGAAACCAACTTTGTCTTTCAGCTGGCTGACGCCTGAGGCGGCTAGCGACGAGTCTGCCGAAAATGGCGCACTCGTCATCCTCCGTGGGTACTGTCAAGGCGGCAGCAATGTTGTTGAGGGCGGCCAGCCTGTTCTCACAGCTGTCGTCGCTGCCCTTCTTCGGCTTTTTCTTTTTCGGCAGCTGTGGCTCGCGCTGTGGCTCTGGCTGCGGGTCGTCCTCCAAGTTGTCCGGCTCAGACGGACTGTCGACTGGAGCCTCCCCGTCAGCCACAGAAAACGTCAAGTCTTCCTCACGAAGCTCCTGAACACACACAAAAAAAAAAATGCAATTACCGCTACCCATAAGCACATCTCCAAGGCAACCGACAATACGTGTGAAGATGTAGTACAGCACATCGTCGATGCTGGTCACCAAGTTTGTTATGAGTTTTTTTTACGTCCACTGACGAAACGACTTTGCAATTGATGGTATTTGATTGCTTCTGATGCTTAGTATGCTAGGTAAAACTTGAAACCACCGTTGGAAAGCTAGAAGTGAACACAGTTTTACTGATTCCCAGCACCACACAAATTGAAATCAGCACTCGTTTCCATTCTACGAATTCAATTTCACGTATTGCAATTTATTGTGCATTAATATAGGCACAATCACATAGAAACCGTCTCTAGGGAAGTGACAATGAACCTTTTTCAAGAAGCGTCCCATGCATGCGCGAGCTGGGGAAGCACGTGCCCAGGGGCAATGCACCAGATTAGGGCTGCAAGCGACTCCTGTTTCGACATGTTAGACCCTCGGTCGGTACATCTTAAACTTCAGGGCGTTTTGCCTCTGGGTGATTGGTCAAAAACCAAGCACCAGCTGTTTGTGTTTCAATCTGCACATTTGTGGGAAGTTGGAAAACGCAAGCAGACTGAATGTCAATAAGTATATCTGCCTAAGAGCCCCACTATAAAATGTTCTGTCCGGCGAATTTTCATAACATTAATGGAGACATACTAAATTTGAGTTTTAAAGGAGTCAACCAAAGGGCCCTTCAACGAATAGGCTTTTAACGAGTTGACCTGAATCCGGAGTACATATAGCATTAAAAATTATTCATATGAAAGTTGGATTGTACCTCTTCTACTCCCAGTACGTGTCCTTGGGGTGGTGGCGGACACTTTTGCTCAAGAAAAGAGAGCGCGCTAAAAAACTTCCATTTTCCAACGTAGGTGGGAGCAGCTTGACCACTTCTGACAAAGGTCTTCTTTTTTTTTTCGTCCTGGTACTGACGTCTTTTGTTGTTGAACTGTCTTTTTATTTCATCTGAAAGGAGAAAAACAAACTAGTACAGTAAGCTAGAAACGGTAATGTCTCAGAAATCATTTGAAAAAAAACTGGACTCCGCTGCACCAGATGCATGCTCTCAAGATGGGACTGATAGTTGATTATAATTTAAGTTTATTCATGCCGAAACGGTCGCACTGTCAACATGAGTGGGTGACTTCCAAAGTAATCAGCGTGTGTATTAGTAACATATACCCACGTTGTAAGCTTTGGTTCTTTACACCGATTCGAAGATCTAAAGGACTTGTCAGAAGTTGGTAGCCCACGCGAGCGTGGACACCTGCGAGCGACGCAGGAGTAGAGTCTTCGAAGCCGTACTACGAGGGCTCGCTCTCGTAGTACGGCTGCGGGAACGCTAGTCCTGCGTCACTCGCACCTCGATAACAAACGCCGACGGTGACAGGATCCTCGTACGGAGGCGAGCCGTTCCGGAGACTAGAGGGGTTTGCTCCAAACTTTTGAGAAATACTACAAAAAGAAACGCGCACTGACGGCTCGAGCAATAGCGGGCTGTTACGGATGAGCGAGCTGTATTGAAGCAATAGAATATTGCCGCTGTACACGGCCGATACATTTTAATTAAAACTAATGCATATTCAAAGAGCGACAGCCGCGATGTTCGTGCGAGAACGAGCGTTTACACGTGGTTCTATTCTACGTACCTGGTTTCAGGGCATTCAGGTTCGGAAACCTTTCCTGCAGCCGTCTGCATATTTCCTTCCAAATACGGTCTTTGTTGTGGACGTTCTTATACCCCTCATGGTCGATTCTCCACAAGCATTCGTTCTCTTCAACCATCAAAAATAACGTAAAAAATGCCTCCTCGGAGAGCGCGGTGTCGGCAACTTGACCGTTGGTCGCCATCTTTCTCCGCACTCCGTACGACGGGGCCAACGGGGCTTCTGTCACTCGCTGACAGCCTCTCCGGGGCGATCGCGGCAGCGCCGCGGAGGCAGGCAGCGCGTCACGTAGAACACGTGACCTCAAATTCTGATGACGTGTACGCTTCGCCGCGGGTATTTCGCGAGCAAATCTCCGTCGTGTGAGTACACCATTAAAGGGGTATCCGCACGAAGGAGAAATCCGCCCTTTTCCTCCGCGGAGCGTGCATCACGTGAGACATACGTCATTCCTTTTTGACGCCTCGCGGCGCGTTCTCCTCCGTGGCGGAGGCGCGAAGGCTTTGTGGTGACAGCACGAAAGCTCCGCCGGTGCACGCGGCGGAGCCGGGGACGGAGTTTCCCGGGATGTTGACGTCACGACATCCGTCCGCGGAGTTCTCCTTCATGTGGATACCGCTTAAGGGGTATCCACACGAAGGAGAACTCCGCGGACGGATCTCGTGACGTCAACAACCCGGGAACCTCCGTCCCCGGCTCCGCCGCGTGCACCTGCGGAGTTCTCATGCCAAGAGTACGAAGCCTCCGCGCCTCCGCCACGGAGGAGAACGAGAGAACGGCGCCACGAGGCGTCAAAAAGGGATTACGTATGTGTCACGTGATGCGCGCTCCGCGGAGGAAAGGAGCGGATTTCTCCTTCGTGTGGATACCTTTTTAAGGAGCTTCGCCCCTAAAACAATTTTTCTTTAAATCAGTATTGTGCACATTGTCTCTGTACAGTTGAGCAGAACATACAGTACCCCGAAGTCGTTCTAGTATATCTTAAATTTAATTCTTTATTGGGAAATTGAAAGCAGGATACTGGCGCTATAAAATTGAGGCAAGCACTGAGACGTATAAGCATTTTCCCTACAGTGTTCATCAGTTTATGTGTGGATGAACTCATTGTTTTTTAACGAACGCAATTCCAGACAGCGTCACCGCCTTTTTGTTGCTTCAGAAACACGAGGGGAAGGGCTTCAATCAGGTCGTTTTTCTTTCCATCTCAGCCTCGTCCAGCATTGAAGGTCGAACCCATCTTCGGAGAGTTTCATGACACTGGACCTTTCCGGACTCTACAAAATTTGTTCTTGTAACAGATATTGCGATATCTCCACAATTGTTTCGCAGCAATAAGGGAGCCCAATTAAGATAGATAAGATTAAACCGCATAATGAAGAATCTGCACTTTTCGGGATGAGTAATATTCCACACACGACGACGCGTGCTCCACGACCGGTAATGGCTATACGCTGTGAGATATTGCTAACTACCAACACTGGTACCGAAAGAGTAACCAAAGGGTTGTCTCAACAACGGCGATATCTCAAAGGAGACGTGAAACCTAGTACCGCGGTCCCCTCATGTCCGCGGCAATATAGACGACGTTTATGGCTACATTACTGCGGGTCGGTTCGATTAATTACCTCCGTCGGTGCCAATGATCGACTATACCTTGTCTCACTCTCGAATATAGCGGAAGAGAAGGCACACACGTACCACAGTAAGGACAAAGTCCAAGAGCATTTATTACAACACTCTTCTAAATGAACTACCATGTCCCCATCCAAAATGCCCCCCGCGCCGGCAAGGTAAGAAAAGGTCCTTACCTGCCAGACGCCAATACCGGGGAGCCAATACCGGGAAGCATCGGAGAAGTCGCTGACACACGTCCTATCTCTTTCGCGGTCGCCGGACGAGTTCCCCTCCCGAAAGCGGGAAAAGTCGAGGCAAACGCCTCATCGCCTGTCAGCTGTGATTCGCATCCGAGCGGGGGGACGGAAAGAGGTCCCCCCGGCAGAGAGTGACAGGAGAGCCCCCCAAGCCAGGAGGCCCCCCGCCTCAAGAACAGGTCGGATCTTACGGCGAAGGCTGCCGAGCGCTCCGACCCGCCACCGTTATCACAGTCATCAGAGATGGGAGACCGCAGGAATCCCCACAACGCACGACACAAAACTGTTTGTTGCGTCTCGACTAATTTGCGAAAAAAAAAGGGGGGGGGGGGGGGGGGGGGGGTAATGAGTAAGTGATAAAAGCAACATTCGTTCTTTTCTTTTTGTTTTTACGAATTTCCTTGACTGAACTTCCCATACGTTCCGTTCTTTTTCAATCCGTCTCGCGTCGTGGTCGTAGTCGAGGGTCGTAACTGCTAGATTTCCAAGAGCGAGCAACTGAAACCATAAAAATACCTCGCAATGTAATGGCGGACGCCTTCTGGGCAAATGAATTGCTAGTGCGCGTGCGTTACGTTGTCGCGTGAAAAGGGGAAAAGAGGACAGAAAGTCAGAGGCGTTTGCAGACGATCAATGCTCTAGTCGCAGTTTGTATAGACGATTGCAAGCGCAGCGACTGGCCGCCGCCATGTCTCTGCTTGTGCTCGAAAGCCCGTTCCATTGCAAGCTTGCCGAGGCTATGTTCACGCGCACGCTGCACGTGCTTGCACGCATCGGGTGCCAGACGGGGCGTGACCCTAATGGATAGGGCAGTTGGAAACACTCTGCAATGTCTCCTTGCCAGGAGTGCGTGCCGGCGGACGACGGCCACAGCCTGGCGTGTCCCGTGGCCTCGCTGTTCGACTCCTCGGTCATCCCCAAGGACGAGCTGCAGAACCGCAGGGACCCGATCTGGGTGCAGGTGCACTTCCAGATGGACGGGCTCCGACTGCCCGAGAGGGCCGCCGGCATGGAGTTCGCGTACAGGCCCTCGCCCAAGTTCTACCTCTTGCCGCCGGGCGGGCTCGACGTGCGCGACGACGACCCCACCGTACTTATCAGGGTAGGGATTATGATTTCACCGGCTCACCACCCCGCGCAAAGACACCCACAACACCGCCGATACACATCCCCGGCACATCCCTGGAGACCTTGCAGCGAGGGGAATTGTGGGGCTCTCCGGATGTACACTCGTGCAGGCTCGAACGCTTCGCTTATCCTGGTAGCGGCACAATGGATTCTTTCTTATCATTAAGAGCTCGGAAGACACGCAAAAATGAGATCGAACGCAAAAGAAGGTCATCACATGCTCTGTTTTGCTTTTATTTTCGCCTTCTCTGCGTTGTGAAACCTCAACCTCAACTTCGCTTTTTGGATTATTTCACGTGCCGTACATCTGAACGTCACAACGCGTGAAGCAGACGCTGGGATCCTCACATATTTCCGGAAAGGTCTTTGCTGCTACATGACACGCATTTAAAGGGACACAATTGAAGCCTAATGCAATTGACAAGAAGGGGGGGGGGGGGGGGGGGGCAGCCGTCTAACTTTTCTCGTGACTGTTCAAACTGCATGGAAGCGAAGCAGCTTGTCAGTTAGTCGCCAGCTGCCAGCTTGGCAGATGCAATTTTGGTTAGTTTCGGTAACACTGTAGCTTACTTGTTACAACTGGATTTCAGGAGCTGCGTCACTGCTAAGCCATATTTATTAATATTATTGCGACAGGATTAACGATCCGATGGAGCGAAGCCGGCGTTTTCCGTAACCGTTTTCTGTAGCCGTCTGTAGCAGAAAAACGGCACCTAAATTCCTATCCCCAATAAAACACAAAGAAAACCTCAGCAACGCAGATGCCTCGTCGCGGAAGCCTTCGTGAAGCCGGAAGGGTTCGCCGCGCCTGAGCAGTGAGAGAGCGCGATGTCGCCCCCGGAGCGCCGTGTGCTAAAGGAAAACGGGGCGCGCTGATTGTAGGAATGCTTTGGCATTCCTACACGTAAGCAGTCTTAAGCGTCTCTGCCAAACTTTGTGCAACAATTGATACCACGTTTCTTTTTCTTTTTTTTTTTTCCATATCACACTTGCAGTCACTGACATCATTAGATACGCAGGCTATGACGAATTCCGAGCCTCTTATTACCTCTCCTTCGCTAAGGACGTTTTGATAATAAGTGAAAAGAATGCAAGAAAAAAGAAATAACAAAGCAAAAAGAAAAAGTTCTGGCAAAGCTGCTGAGCAATTGCGTTGCATACATGACACGTTCTGGCATCACAAACGTTAAGCGATACTCTGAGTTTCCTTGCGCAAGACGCCTACGTCCATTGCGCTATGCGCTATTCGTCTGATAGTGTAACGCGTACCATGCGTACACTTGATAGTGTTTTCTAGAATGAGGCGATACTGCCGCTAATCGGGCTGATAACTCCGGCTATCTTCTTGCGCCTTCCATGCTCTCGAGCTCCTCTTCCTCGGTGTGCACAGGTGGTAGAGCTCCTCCTCGCCCACCCCTTAGGTCACGTGACCTCCCCGTTACCCAATCTGCGTCGAGCACCTCATTCCTCGTCTTCCACCCGTACACCAACCAGTGTCGAGTCTCGCGGCCACGCTTTTATCTGGGCTGCACGAAATGCCGATCGCCTGGCCAAATAATGTCTAGCGTTAAAGGGGCCCTGACACCCCAAAGGTCGTATTTATTTTCATTGTCTAAAACGATGCAAGTTGCAGTCATAGACCAGAGCTGGCCAAATTACTCATATTTTGTAATTAAATTACATTACTAATTACTTTGCTGAAATTTGCTGAAATGTAATTAAATTACATTACAAATTACCACAGCCAGAAAGTAATTAATTACCATTACAAATTACTTTTAAAAGTAATGACATTACTTTCGCATTACTTTTGTATACTTTTAAATATAAAGGAGCTATTGATAACTTCCTTTTACAGATAACTTTATTTACATTATTTACACAGTTCATGGCACACAGCTAGAACTCTCTGTTGCATGTTTACAGATGGACAGAGGAACGCACGCGACTGACCCGTTTCCCACCCCAACCCGGACAACTATTTTTGGAGATGACTGAGGACCCTACGCGGATTATCTTTGGGAGGGGGGGAGAACAATTGTCATTGTTCGCAAAATCGCGTCGAGGGCCGTTCCACCAGGGGCCTTAGTTCGACCTACTTCCCCTCCCTCGTTTCCCGAGAATGTCGAGCAGAAAAGCTCGAATGGAAGGCACTTACCAGCCCTATTTCTCACAGTGAAAGATAACAGAGAGAGGGTACGCAGTATGCATCAGAAAACGTAAGCGGAAACTTTCAAGAGGGGCCAGAAAACGTCGAATGCAAAACCGAAAAACATAGGTAGAGAATCGCGCTGAGCGGGTTTTCAGAGTTCAAGAGAGTGGCAGAAAATGTCTAGCTGATAGCGGGCGCGAGAGTCGCACCAGCCGCATTAGCATCAGCAACATAGCGGCGGCCAAAGAGCGTTTTTCGGAAAGGTGTAGAGGAAAAAGAAAAAGTAAAATAAAAAGAAAAGCGCACTTGTGTATTGTGGACACAAAAAATATGCCTGGTGCGAAAAAGTAATTAGGTAATTTAATTACAATTACCGTCGCTGGAGTAATTCATTACATTACTAAATTACCTGCTACAAAAAGTAATGAATTACATTACTAATTACTGGAACAAGTAATTAAATTACTGTAATTTCATTACAGTAATTGCATTACTGCCAGCTCTGTCATAGACACGCAAAAAAAAAAACGCATCGCGAAAAAAATTTTTCCCGCGCGCGCGCGCGCCTTTTTATTTTTGGCGTTTGATTTTCCCGCCTCTCGCCTCCTCGCTTCTTTTGATCGATGACGTCAAGAATCATGAAATCTAGAAGCTTTGTAGGCGACATCTCTATAACATTTATTTACGGCAATCCTAAAACATTTTTTTAACGCAATGACGAACGCACTACGGCCCTTCTTTTTGAAATACCAAAAATCGGGAGTTCGTTGTGGTGCCGTCTCCTGGATTTGTATCCTCCAACGGAAAACAGGCGACACCGCTCAAAACCGGTCCGCCGCAACGCCGGCGCCCGCTCCTTTTCTCCTCGCTTTGGGTCGCCATGGCAACAGCAGGGAGTGGTGAAAGAAAGTGGACTCTCAGGACTTCGCAATTTTGACGTCAAGGCACCGGCGCCGATCGCGCGGGAACTTCGAATTCGGCATTTGGAAATTGTTTTTTTACTTCACAAATACTGAATTCCCAAATTTCAAATTTTGAGGGTAATGTCCCGGCATCGTTTTCAATCGTTTCGGATAATAAAAAAAAATATGATTTTGATGTGTCAGTGCCTCTTTATGAACGTGATGATATTAGGCCACGTCCTGCGTTTCCTAAGCTGTCATTGGATAAAGTGACACCTCGCCACTATAATTCATCTCATTGAAAAGACCGAAATTACTAGAATATCAACGTTTACACTCGGTAAGGCACTCACTCAATCAATCATTCCAAATGTTCATTCAAGTATCAGTCACGCGCTGTCTATATAAATAGTAAAAAACAGGGCTTTGTTTGTGTGTGTGTTTTTTTAACTAGCCACACATCACGTACATTTGCGATTTTATGAATACTGCAAATGACTCGAATTTCGCGGGCTCGAATGGTCACGAATGGGTCAAAGCCGGAAAAATTAGAATTATTCGTTGGCTCTAAATTTTGCTAATCGAAAATTAAAACCCACAATGACCGCGAATTGAATGACCATGAATTCCGGCCCAGTACGTAATTTTCTTTCAAATATTTCGAATGTTTTGTTTTAGCTCCTTAGAGCCGATAAATAAAATAACATATGTAATGATCACGTGAGAGCCTTTGCAGGCATGTTTTTTTTTCGTTCTTAGAGTGTTGCTCAAGGAAGCACAGTCTCTCAATGTAGCTTCCGTAAGTGTCAACATTTTTTTCGAATTGTTCGCGGTATCTATATTTCTTTTCGGGAATTACAGGCGATTAGAAAAGTTCGCAAAAATGAGGTCGTCGCAAAAATTGAGTCGTTTACAGTATGCATTCATTTTTCTTTTCTTGAACGGAATGAGCCGAAAATTTCACTTATCACCATTGGCATTGTATATGCAGGGTGTTTCACGTAAAAGTGGCGGTATTAAAAAAAAAAAGGAACTTAGAAAAATTCGGAGGAGACGCTTAAGCCGATTTACGTGTAGGAATGCGAACGCATTCCTACACTTAGCGCAATCCTACAAGCAGCGGGCCACGTCATCCCATTGGCCACGGTGCACCGGCGGTGACATCACGCTGCGCCGCCGCGGAAAACCGCAGTGCATGATGGGGCCCCCTCAATTTTGCCGGCTGCACTACAGTGACGGGCCCCCTCCCCATAGTGAGTGTCTTTCCGAAATGCTCGGTCTTTTTCTATGAGATGGTTCTAACATTTAGCTTTCTTTTCCAGGGCCACAACTTCAAAGTGCTGGAGCACGACGACGAGTTTAGCGTAAAGATAGACGAGGTGGATCAGGCGTGCAAGGTGATAAATATTACGTCGACCACCATTGTGTGCTCCTACAAAGTCCATGAAGAGAGCGAAGACGCCGCCCATACCGTAGATGTAAGTCGCTGTAATCGTTCACCATGACCTTGATCCCTTGTTCCTTCCGCTGAATTTCTCCTAATACCTTTTCCCCCTTTTTAACCCGTCACTGGACTGTGCCTGCCACGTCTCTGCGGTAGAATATGTTTGCACGAATGTCTTGCAAGCCCACTTTTGGGAAGTCCTCCACCCACCTAACTTCTTTAAATACAGACTTGTGTAAAGCGTTGTTGTTATTGTTGTTGTTCTTTTTCTCGCGTTTTGTATAGAGAAAGTAGTACCCGATCCTTGTGCGAGGACACAAAGTGCATACAATATTCACGAGCTGCACCCCAGTAGGAAAAAAGTCTCCCCTTTCTTCTTTAAAAGTAAAAACGACAACAACGAAATAGTTTCGAAATTGGTTGCTTTCCTTTTTCATTTGTACGGCTTGCCGTTTTTGGATGCATGCGACTGTTGCGGATTTGACGACAATGAATGGGTAGAAGAGTGAAAGGAGGATTGGGAGCGCGGGATTGGTCTGTCCTCGTTGCGATGCGCTTGGTTGTATTCATGCAAACCTAGCCTATTACAATTTCGGCCGATGTCTCGCCACTTGTATGCCGTATGTCAAGAACACACTCTCCGAAGCGCCTTCATGTATTTTGGCCCGCGGCGCACTCGAAACACCATTCGCTGGTCTTTCAATCAACTTAACCAGTGAGAAGGGCAAAAGGTGTACCACGTTTGGTCGTGCAGTTTGAGCGACCGAAAGAACGCCACCCTTTCTGGCTCTGAGCGCGCATGCTTCTTGAGCATCACATATTGTCCTTCTCATTGATTGAAATGATGGAAAGATTAGTGATCGGAGCTAGGAGTGCATCGCGGGCCAGTGCACATGCAGGAGCTACTGCTCAGCAAGCTCGACATTTCAATGTCTCGCTTTATGGAAACGGGTTATAGACGCTTTACACACGCGCCAGATTACAGCCGCCATTGCTGATCTTCTTCTTTCTTATGGAGATGCCGAGCGACTGAAACGGGTGTTGACGAGCCTCCAGAAAGGCCAATGCTGGGTAGAAGGATGCAATAAAATTTAAGATGGCCATAACCTGGCCTGCTATGGTAATGATGAATTGAAGAAAATTCAATAAGAGCAAACAAAAACTGAAGGTCAGTTATGGTGGCGCCCATGCACAGCTGCTGCAAAGCGTCTATATGAGTTATATGTAGCGTTTTATTTAATGCTGACACATTGCTCGTGTCTAATTAGGCAGCACGATTGTTGCACGACGAAGTGGCCATGGTTGGGGCTGGTGACGGTGAAGGGTGGTGGACGTGCAAGCCTCTTGATCACCGTGAATGCAGTAAATTCCCTAGCTGTGTGCTCTATTGTCTCCGCGGTTGTTTGCTAAGGCGCCTTCCCTCGCAGGTGGTTATGGGCAACAAGACCTTCAGGCTGGGCACGTTTAAACTCGTCTCGGTCCAGGATTCGTGCCACTTGGGTACCATCGCAGGTGTCGTCATCACCATTATCGTGATCACGCTCATCCTCGACGGGGCCTTCTTCTACTACAAGCGCAGGCCACCGAACAAGAGGACTCCCGAAAAATTCGTCGAGGACGACAACCGCACTGGCGAAAATGGCGGAAGACCTTTATAAACAATCGAACAATCAATCAATTTTATTTCCTTTTTATCTAAAAGGGGAAAGCAGGAAAATAACAAAAAAAAAAAGCAGCATGTCGCTACTTGACAAAGCCCCCCCCCCTCCCTTGCCCCTCCCCCCCCCCCCCCCCGCCTCTTCTCTAAATCCGAAGAAGAAACTGAACAGATGTGTTGATGAACAATTTAAAATATATAAAGACAGGTAATTGAGTCTTTATACAGTACAGTGGTGTCAATTATATACGGTGCAAAGTGTTAAACAACCTAAACATAATTCAGAGTTACACACGCTTCTTCGGAGAGTTTAATAATGAGCACACAACAATGTAGAGTACATTGACTTTCAAAAACATATACGCAACTGTGTTTATACAGTCGAAACGAATGACAACACCAATTCAATGGATCACTCAAATATGCCACGAATTTCCTTTTTGCTTGTGTTTGGCACGGAAATTCCCTTCGCTTCAAGGTTATTCAAAATTCTTAAGAGAGCAAAAGCCAGTTTCTGGTTACCCTAATTGGTTTCGGAGCGCGGTGCGGCCCAGTTTCGAGAACGACGAGTGCTATATGTTGCGTTCCGCGACTCGCTACTCCAAACCTGAAACTGAATTGAAAACGCTCTTAGGGTTGTTTAATTATCTTTTATGACATGAAAAGCCTTTAACTTTACTAATTCATGGTTTTTGAAGTGTCAATCTTTTTAAACAAAGATTTGGTGGAGTGATCATACGCTACATAACATATTTATTCGTATTGCCATCTTTTGCATCCTTTAAAGTCTCTGAACCTTCGTTTTCTTAGTGGTACCCCAAACCTGAAAACAGTAATCGAAATAAGAGAACAGGGCGTGATATATGAGCAGCATTAACGAGGATGGTAAGATATTACGGTATTTATTCCTAATGTTTGTTTTTGATGTTGGTTAGTATCATTTCTTTTTGTTTTAGTAGCGCCAACTCGGTCGAGTACCCCTTTTGGAAGCCAATATGACAAGGGGTAATATTTGAGTTTTTTTTCACAGAAAGCATATAGTCTTATGTGCAAAATACTTTCTAATCCTTTAGAAAATACGGGCAGTACAGACACAGTCCTGTGTTTACCCAGGTTGTTCTTATCCCCTGCCCTGTGGAGCACGGACACCTTGGCCATTTGCATTCTTTTAGGGTCCCCGTCACGAAGGGCGAGGTTCTAAATGTGGGTCAAACAAGGGACGATACAGGCTTTACATGATTTACAGGCTCGATCTGAATGCCATGCACGGCGTTACTTTTACTGTTTCTAAAATTGTTAAATACTGATATCGATTCACTGTCACCAGTGGGGAGAAGAAAAACACTCTGAAATTTTATCGACAAGGTCACAAGCGTTGACAGAGTGAACGTTCAAAAAAGTCAAACGACGTTTTAGTGATTTATACAGCGTAAGGTCGGTCTGCCAGTAGGGGCGACTCTGGTTTACACTGTAGATGAGCAATTTCGCCTTTGCAGTACGACTGCTAACCTGGGATCTTTAACGTGCTCACGCAGTAGTGATACACGACCGCACCTTTCAATAAAGCTGCAGGCCATCGTTGACCAAGAAGCAACCCCGGGCGAAGTCGTCGACCGAGAAGCAACTCCAGGGGTTTTTGGGGTTGGTAAACATTTACCGCCGTTTTCTGCCGGGCTGCGCCACCAAGCTTGCGCCGCTACACAGTATGCTTTCCGGCAAGACGAGCTTAGCAATCGAGCTCACAAGGGATGTAGGCACCACATCGGCATTTGAACAAGTCCGACAGCTCCTTGCGACCAACACCATGCTTTCTCACCCAAAGGAAGGAGCCCACTCTCAGTTGTCACCAAAGCTTCAGTGTTGGTGCGGTGATTCAGCAAAATGTGAACGGACACTGGCAGCCGCTTTCTTTCTCTCGGAAGCTGACACCCACAGAACAGCGATATAGTGCGTTCGGTCGAGAGCTCCTTGAGGTGTATTTGGCACCCTTCGGCTCCCAGGTGAATTCCTTACGTCAACTCCATGCTAAACCTGTCAGGATCCCGTAAGCTTCGCCACCAAACTCCGAGAGGCCACTAAGCAGCTCCGCATCACAGCACCTCGCTTAAGCCGTGGCCAGCCCACTTTCATCAGCGACGAATTGAAGACTGGAACTTGTGTTTTCTTGCGACATGACGCTGTACAAAAGCCTCTCCAACCGCCCTACGACGGCCCGTACAAGGTACTGCGGCGAGGGTCAAAAACAATGACATTGGGCATCCGAGGACTGCAGGAGGTTGCTGCGTCGGATCGTGTGAGGTCGGCTCATTTGGACAGTGGTTCACCAACTACATTTCCAAAGGTTACACGCCAACCAGAAACACCGTCAGCAACAACGCCGATCCCACCAAACCAACTACACCTTCCATTTCCTCCCGGCCGATTTCACCGCGACTCCTTGAATGCAAAACAATCGCATACACGAACACGTTCTGGACGACGTGTATATTTCCCAGCGCGTCTAGGCATCGCAGATGTTAAAACACAGGCGGTTAACCGTCGCTGTTCATCTCCCACACGATTCCATCAGCAAGTGGCGTAATGGTCATAACATTCGCATTCTTACTAGAGGGGGAGTCTGTGGCGGCGCGTTCCCTTTACCAAAAGAACATTCTCCGAAGTCCCTGCATGCCTCAGAAATCGGCAACGTGAAGTCGAGGTAAAGGAGAGGCTCGGGGGATGCGCGAGGATCGAAACAACAAGCAGAAAAGCGCGAGACATTAACTGCAATCCCTGCTGTCCGACTGACGTCCACGTTTTCTGTTCGTTTAGATGGGTTTGGTTTTAAGGAAATTATATAGCAACCCTCCTGCCTCTCTGGGTTATTTACCCGTCGCGCACGCGAGCCCAATTGGAACGCAAAAACCGAAGGAACAAAAATGGTTGCATCACGTCTCATTCCTTGCTCCTATCTTCACTTTACAGCATCTGTGGAAGCACTTTAACTCAGCCGAAGCCACTTCCTCCCACAGCTTTAAAAGCGCAAAATCCAGATGATGAATTTCAGATTGCAGCTGATATGACTGGTTCGATATTCGCAGAAAATTCATACCATGATAGCGAAAAACAAACGCTTAAGGAAGACGCTAAATAAACGTCTTTGAGTATCTCGAAACTATGGCACACATTCAACGCAACCACGAGCGAGGGTTTCAGGCGCTCATACAGTTTCAGCTCTATTCCAGACATGCAACATGCGCAGTATATTCACCGACTTTTCTCATTTTCATCGAGCGGCTGGAAGTGCTCGACAGAATTGTGCTCATTACTTGAAAAATGTAATGGATTACAATTACAAATTACCGAGCCTGAGATTTAATGGATTACCGTTACAGATGACTCTCGCTGAAAAGTAACGGATTACTTTACTCGGTACGTTACGAATTACTTTCCCGTTACTTTTTCCGTACAGTCATCCAGAAAACAATAGAAACAATTACGATATTTTTTTCAAAATTGTCCTGCAACATTACTTTTCATTTCTCATACGCCCGTATTATGGTAGTCCTTGTAAAAATAAAATATCGTATTTAAAGGGGCGATGCAACGAGTTTTGTGTTTTGCGGAAATACCGCTTAGAGCGGATCCCTGGCGTTAATGACCTGTGAAATACCCATTCGTTTTTCACCACACGCAATCGAAGTCGCAGAAAAAAAATAAAGAAAAACAAGCAGAGTTCACCCCCTCAACTCGCTGCCAGAACGAGTGGCCACGTGATCTGGAGCCGATTATATGCCGCCAATGTTGATCATAGCCATGCGCTGGGGTTGGCAAGGCACAGGACACGCGCTTTGTTCCAGACATTGTTATGGTTCGGCTGTTGTCGTCATTGCAGCGATTGGACACGGGACACTACCCGAATGCTTCTCAGGCTATAAATTATCACGAGCCCAAATCGAGTGCCGACGCAATGCTCGGGTCCAATCTATGAGCCGCATTCAAATATCGTCACTGGGCGGGACTGCTACCGCCCAGCTACGTTTTCAGGTTTTGCGAAGGAGAGATTGAAAAAAAAAAAAACGCTCGGTTTTGTTCTCGAAATTACAGTCTAACAAGGGAGTTTCTTGGTCACTGGCAGTCTTGTACACGTTACTAAAAAAAAGTAATCGATTACAATTACTATTACTCTTGGCTAAAAAGTATTCGATTAGATTACTTGATTACTCGACGGCAAAAGTAATTGGACATTACCTAAAGAAGTAATCGTTACTTTTTTTATTACTTTATTGTATGAAGACACATCTTTAGCGCTCATAGCAATGTACTTCTTCCAACCTATATTTCACATTTGCACAAGTATTGAAGAAGAAAAACTGGCTCCCTCTTCGTGGTCGTTGCACCTTCACAATGAGGACACGAGCATAGAATTCGTTTGAAGACGTTTAATGATTTGGGCTTTCGCCAGTGTGTGTGTGTGTGTGGGGCGTAGGGGGGGGGGGGGGGGGGGGGGGCGGGAGAACGGAGGGGGTTCTAGATCTTATTAAGCTTGAGCAAGGGTTGTCGCTCAAAGTTTGCGTCGCTCATTTTTTTATTTACATGTGGATGAGCTCACATGTTATACAAAAGAGCAGCATCTCCAGGATATTAAACGGATCATGTGTAGTATCCATTAGCGGAAGAGATCGCCCCGACCACTTCTCAACTCGAAACATTGCTTGTCACAAAGATTATGTAGGGGAAATGGGGAAATATTTCAACTGCCTTTGTTATATTTTGCATCCGCTTTAGGCATTCTTCAGTTCTGGTTCTCCTACGGGCTGCGAGTAGGTACCCTACGCAGGATTTATGTGTGTGTGTGCGTGAGTTTGAACGAAGGACTCACAAATCTACATTCTGCTTCCTCAAACTTCGCCCTGAATGGCCTTTGTCACGCACTGTGGCTTCCCTGGGGCTTTCCACTCCCAGTCCCAGCTCAAAAAAAAAAAAAAAAACGGACATTCCACAGAAACTGTACATAAAAAGAGATTGACCTCGTTTCCTACAGCTCCGCAAAAATCTTTCTTCTTTTCCG